GAGAAGTCCCAGACGGAGCAGAGAAGGGAAACTAGAATTGAGCAGAGCTGCGGAGGAAGGCAAGGGCCAGGCTACCAAGCTCGTGGTTTTAGACCAAAAACCTAATTAAAGGGCAAAAAAATCTGGCGGCCATTTTGAAAACTCTCCCATAAAATCCAACAAACAAGAGGAAAGAAAATGGAGCCAATGGAATTACTGTAAAGTACATGCTTTAGATGGGTTCAGTTTACAGCTGCTTTATCTGACTAAACAGGCTTTTAAATTCCATGGCACACATTATTCTTGTTGTTTGTACCCACCACCACTAGACGGCAGACTTTACACTAGGTTTTCATGTAAAATGGAGTAAGAATATAACAAAATAATTAATTTTCAATGCCTGGTTTCTGATAATATAATAAAAATGTCCTGTTTGAATTAATTATTTTTAGGTTGGAGGTCATTTCTCTACTGTTGCTCTTCAGCACATGAAGAACTTTGGAAGAATAGCCGTGTGTGGGAGCATCTCTGTGTACAACGACGCCACGCCTCAGACAGGTGGGTTTATGTACATCGAGGGTAATAAGGAGCTAATATTTGAAACTAATTGATGTCAACGTGAAATATTTCTCAGGGCCGTACCCACACTTGATGATAATCTTCAAGCAGCTCAAGATGGAGGGTTTCCTGCAGAGCAGGTGGGCGCACAAACACCCCGAGAGCCTGAAGAGACTGATGGCGTGGGTTAAAGAGGTACCACTGGTTTGGGCACGCATCATTTTCAGTCTCTGTGTCTTTTTGTGTCCAACTGATTCATTCTGCCTCTGCAGGGGAAACTGCAGCATCGAGAACATGTCACTAAAGGTTTTGAAAACATGCCAGCTGCTTTTATGGGGATGCTGCAGGGAGAAAACACCGGCAAGGCAGTCATCGCAGCCTGATGTCTAACCAACCAGACACTTCATCACAGAACTCTTAATCATTCCAGAAACAACTTTATATACACATTTATAATACTCATTTAAACACAACAATTATAAAAAAGATAAACTGTGAAGCACCTGTGAGATTTAAACCTGTAGTTTATTAATACTTAAATCTTCTAACTTTATGACAATAACTGTTCCTGGGGAGGAATTAACCACCTTACCCAATCTCTAAAAAATACTGTGTACTAATATTTGTGTTTACCATAAATTAATAAGTCTTTTAAAGCAATCTCAAATGATTTTTTTAAACTTTTATCTCCTTTAGAGTCTTTAGATTTACAAAACTTCACCAGTGGGTTTTTTTGTAGTGTTTTTGTAGTGTTTTTGTAGTGTTTTTGCTTTTTACAGCTGAACTTAAATAATTTTGTCTCGAGATGAGCGACCGTAATGCAGCTGCGAAGGACGAGCCAGGCAACAAGGGTCTAGCTTCATGAAGGCACAGAAAAAGGAAGTGGGCGTGGTTTGATGTCAGTCTGATTGACCGTGGCGGTGGCGCACTGCACAAATTAAGTGGGCATTAAAATAAAGTCATTTGTGTTTTCACTAAAGTTCGATTTTGTCGTTTCTCTTAGAAAAATAAATAAATAAATGTTCCTAAAATGTGAAGGTGGAACACCAACTGAAGGAGAAAGAAAATGCAGTATAATATGACATGATAAATAATCATATAATGGGTTTCATGGTAGTTTTTTTTTTCCCAAAAAAGTGAACTAATGTGAGAATTTGAAACAATTCAAATTGTGTCAATTGCATGTAGAAAATCCCCAAATATAAAAATAAAAACAGTAACGATTAACCTACATTTTCTTCACTTGTCTCCTGTTCTTTCTGTTCTCAGCAGAAGATGATTGTAGTTTAGATCAGTTGAATTTCCTACAGCACACAATCACAATAAATCACATTTTGCAGTTACTATAAAATTTCGTTTCTATAATATCCTTTTTTGCAATTTTCACCTGTGTTTTGGGGCTTTATGATTCAGAGAAAAGATGGTTTTCATTGACGTCATCGTCTGGGACTTTTTTACCCTCTGCACCCTGTTCGTGGCCTATTTAGCTTGTAGAGATAAAACCAGTATGGGGGAACCACAACAGCAAGGGAGAAAACATGCAAAAAAGGCCACTGAATGACACAGACGGGCATGACCAGGATAATAATACTTTGTATTTAAAACATGCCTTTTAGGACACCCATGGATCTACTGGATAATAAATCTGAATCAAGGTATTTAGCTTTATTGAAAGTAGCGATCCTTAYGAGCTGCTGAAGTCTGCAGAGCCGACACAGAGGCTGTGTTGACACGACTCTGTGTGACTTTCTCTGATAGTGTTAGTAACTACATCTTATATACCCCAAATGGGTACATACTGCATAATAAGGAGCTTTATGTGATTATAATCTGATACTGTCAGTGTATCCTACATTCGTGTTTACAAGGGTAGATTGCATAATATTCAAAACACTTCTGTTCATAGTGCACAATCTTTTTTTTAAAGTTAAAGAGTAACTTACCCCAAAATTAACTTTTTTTAGCTGATAAACTGTCTATAATGTGTCTAAAATGTTATATAGTACTGTTTCTGTGCTAATTTTGATGTTTTTGTGCGTATTTGTTCAAATCTGTAACATTTGGTCTAAAAACGTGTTTTTGCTGCTCATATGGGTAGAGCAGTGGTACTGCAGGCTAATTTGCATATTTGTTAAGGGCTCTCCACGGTGACGTGTCTTCTCCACAGTTTCGTCACAGCGGCTGTGTTCTGGTATAAAAGCCTCTCTCTAAGACACGCCCCTGCAGCAGTCAGAGGGTGGAACAGTTAGCAAGCTTAGCATGATCGTCTGTTGACCTTCAGCCTCGGGTGGGGAGAGGTGACTGCTGCGCTGCTCTCTCTCTGTCTCTCTCTCTCTCTCTCTCTCTCAGCGGGAGGGGAGGAGGGAAAAAAAGGCAGAAACACAGGGGGGCAGCTGTAGCCCTAACGGACCAAACTTCAGTCAAACAAGACCCAACACTTTTATTCCTGATTTAAACTAGTGATCTTGTGAGCAGCTGCAGCTGTATGCTTTTATTTTTTTTATGTCAGGCTGTCGTAGAGCGTTCCTCCTCCTCTCTCCTGTGAGGCGGACAGCTCAGCCCAGGCTGTCACGTTCTCTAGTCCTGGCCACACCTCCGCTCTCTAACCCCCCTTCCCCTACCCACTTTGATGCATTTTTCAAATTTCGCCTTGGGGCGGAGTTATCTTTTCACGGGGCGGGGGATACTGTGGGGTCACTAACCTTGGTAGGAGTGATCTGAACACACTCTGGAATCCCGAGGAGGGTGAAATATTTGTGGTTGATTATCGCCAGCCACAAAATCACGTCACTTTGCCGACAGTTCTACTTCTAATAGTGTTTTTACGCCGTCTGTTTTTCTTTTTTTTTTTTAAGAGCGTCTCTCTGCCACACAAGCAGCACAGCTTTGTAACTAATTCGAACGCAAACTTGTTCCATGACTGTTAAAACAACTTATAATAGAAACATACTGCATAAACAATCTAGAATGTTTACATTTCTTCCGCATTCGCAGCCACGAATATGGCGATTTGATCACGTCTTCTGCAGGTCGCTACGTCATTCGAAAACCATCTATAAAAAAACAATACTGTTGTTGTTTGGCTCAGAAATGGTTTAATATTTTCTGCACATAAATCTGATCACCAGAAATAATCTGCGACTTATCTCAGTTTAAATGTTAAACAAGACATGTTACTGTCAGAYTGTTAATATGTCCATTTGTTTTAGGGAGCAAGGAGCAGACCTCTCATTTTATAAAAATGAGAGGTCAAAATGATCACCTCTTCACTGGGGCCAAAGATTCAGCCACCACAGCTTGGAGGTACAATAACATAATTTCTAGCCGTAATCTCTCCACTTTTATTAACCCCTATCCAATACAGAACCAGTGTTTTCAAGATACCAGTATTGTTCCTCTTTAGTAATCGTGTGAACAAATTATCTTTAAATCACATGATCCAACACATTTGTTGTTTCTGTGGAAAGCTGTGCATCCTGTTAGTCCTCAGTTTGGATGTAGGGATTTTCTCTCATACTTTCTGTATGTGCTAGGTCAATACTGGAGAAGATGGGCCTGCAAGGAAAGGTCACCCCCTTGCAGGCAAAAAAAGTGGGACAGTTAAAAAAAAAAAAACACAAAGTATGTAAATTTTTGGAGTCACATTCAAATAAACATACATTTTATAAAGTTTTCTTTGTTACTGTTTTTGTCAACTGTAATTTTGATTTCCTCTGTGTTTAGGATTGCAAGTATCCTGTGGTTCTGAAGATTGTTCAAACTTATTAATCTGTTAGTGTGTCTCTTTTAATAAATGATAAAAGCAAATGTTTTATAAATGTATTTTATTGATAAACAAACTAGGTAAAACATTAAATGGCTGACATGACAAAACAAACAAAATCAAAAATATTCAAAGGAAATATATATACATTTATATATACACTCACTGGCCACTTTATTAGGTACACCACGCTAGTAACGGGTTGGACCCCCTTTTGCCTTCAGAACTGCCTCAATTCTTCGTGGCGTAGATTCAACAAGGTGCTGGAAGCATTCCTCAGAGATTTTGGTCCATATTGACATGATGGCATCACACAGTTGCCGCAGATTTGTCGGCTGCACATCCATGATGCGAATCATCATCATCATCATCATCATCA